ATGAAGTAGCTGCAACGTTAGGCGAATAAAAGTTTTTATACCAACCTCACGTCCGTTCAACAATGCAAAAAATTATTGATTATTGCTACCGAGGGTTAACAAAAGTCAGTTTTTAGGATAATCTGACAGCAGTTTAGTAGAGCTATCCCAGGAGGAAAGGGCGCATGCGGCGCCGTGGTCGGAAGCGTCCTGCAACACGCGTGGAATCGACCTCCCCCCCCCGCGTCCATCGCCCCAAAAACCCAAGATATGCATTCAGTCACCTCCAAACGATGCTTAATGCAGTCGAATGCATTGCGCATCCCTCAGGGATTGATCAACAACAAGAGCTTTATCCTTTTAATCTTTTGTCTCAGAAGGCTTCAACTTCACCAGTATTCAAGTAATATTTGTGAACAAGATCGAAGTGCTCAAGGAGCAGCTGAATCCGTGTAAAAGTACGGAGAGAGAAGAGGTGGATGAGACATGCAAGAAAACGCATCGAAGAATAGAAATGAGGGAATCCGAACAATATGTGAAATTAGGTCGCTTGAAGAAATAATAAGTTGTCTGTCGAGGGCTCTTGGGTGTCGCTGAAACTGCGTAATACTGCGGACTATTCAAGTCCAGCAGGGTCACATAAGCTGGGAAGGAGTTCATTTCCACCTGTAATTCCAGTTAACGGCAAATCAACTCCATAGAAATATTCAGCTGTCTTTCTGCGGCTTTTCTTCTGCCTACAAAAAAAGTAGTGGAAGAAAATTACACCGAAATGTGACACAGGTTGTATCGTTTGCTAGACTTGAACCCGGTGTGCGGCAATCTAAATGCTCAGCAAGAAAAAATATAGCGTGGTGGTAACTAAGTTACTCGATAATTTATAAATGACATATGCGATGAGGTGATGCATCTTTGTCATTAAAAGGATAAAGAATAGAGCTCGTATGAATTGCTGAGATATTTGCAAAACTCCGGACCACAGGTGTATGCAATGGGAAATGAACACGCGCTGTTGTCCTTACCGGGGAGCAGCGCACTTTACCACTGACCCGGATGGTGTAGTAGTGAAGTGCGCTGCTCCCCGGTAAGGACAACAGCGCGTGTTCATTTCCCATTGCATACACCTGTGGTCCGGAGTTTTGCAAATATCTCAGCATTTCATACGAGTTATATTTCGCAACATAGCCTGCCATTAAGAAGAAAAAGACAGTAAATAAAAGGTTTAAGAAAGAATAGAGCATTCGGACTTGATCAGTCTCTGAGAAATGCGCCATGAATTCCAGGTGATTAAACGCGTGTATGGCGCAAATAATGCAGTGGCCTACCGATGTATTAAGTTAGTACAACAACAGGGATGCTAACATGTGAGTAAATCTCGGAACCTTTGTTGGTCTTGGAATTTGCGATTATTCTTTCACGAAGCTCACTTGCTATCCACCACGAAAGCGAAGCCCTCTATATGCTTCTCTGTTAGCTAGCTTTTTTACCCTGTGCTATGAGCATTCACCCATCAACAATATGATCTGGATAGCATAAAATCGTCGTTGAATCGAGTTAAGCTGAAGCTGTAGTCGAAATCACAGCTAGTAAGTACTCACAAAAGTGAGTAAAAACTGGCTGGGGGAATGGGAAAGCAAGAAGCTCGGTTGGTATGGTGAGCAGCACGCAAGGGTAAGGGTAATAGCGGATTCGAAACCGATCCGAAGTTCCATATTTCGCTCATATTTCAGCATTCTTGTGGTTGTATTTCGCGCAATACCGTATCATGAAAATAAAGAGTAGGCAGTAAATAAGGGTTAAAACATTATAAAGTGGATGATTCTGTCCTCCTACACAAACCTACAAATCTGGTATCCTTTTGCTGACCCTCGAGGGATGATGGACCCGGGGCGAGGAATTTAACCAATGACAGCGAATGTATTTCAGGGCACCTCACCACTAAGCCAAACGCGCCCCTATGTCGTTGTCATAACTTATTATTACAATCTTAACCGTTTCACTTATTGCCTACTATTTTCAAAGACAGAGTATGATGCGAAATATAACTTCAACGATGCTGAGATATTTGCAAAACTCCGGACCGCAGGTGTCTGCGGTAGGGAAAGCACGCGCTATTGCTCTTTCCGGGGAGTAACGCGTTCACCATCACACTATGAAAACGTAAATAAAAAGGTTAAGATTGTGATTATAACTATAGCCTCAGCTTAACTGGGTTCAATGCCGATTTGGCCTCCCCAGATCAATTCCGTTGACGGGTGATTACTGATGGAAGAAGATCGATAGAACTAGCTGAGAGACAGGCGAAGCGAAGGACCAGCATGGTGTGGTGGTGAGCGCGTTACTCCCCGGAAAGTGCAATAGCGCGTTCGTTACCCACCACAGACACCCGCGGCCCCTAGTTTTGCAAATATCTCAGCATTATAGTAGTTATATTGTGATTTTACCCTTAGCCTCAGCTTAACTGGGCTCAATACCGATTTGGTCTCCCTAGATCAATCCTGTTGATAGGTGATTACTTATGGACATTACTATTATTATTATTGTTATTGCTGTTATTGTTGCCACTGTTTTTATTATTATTAGCGTTATTCTCACTATTCCGCTAATAATATTAGTCTTTATCGATTCTGAGGTTAGTAGAAAGTTCACGGTATTTATCATTGTTGCTATTGTTACTATTGCCATTACTGTTAACTATCGGGACGCGTATAGCGCAGTAACCAGAAATGTCCTTTAACATTCTCGCGACGACGCTTTTTTTGGTTTGTTGAAGACTGGGCGACGCCTAATTTTCAGGCTTTATGGACTTGCTCGCTTTTTTTTCAAAATAAATAATAATTTCTCGATAACTAGAGGACTTGGGGAGGGGTTGTGGAAATGCCTTGCTTTTTCGATGGGTGTGAGTGGTATTTATGGTGCTATTCACTGAATGTTAGTTACATTGGTCCATCATGCAAACACGTTACTGTCAGCATTGTGAAGTGTTTTACAGCTTATGAGTCCCTATTTTGGTGTCTTTTATAATAGCACACTCGACACGATCACCGCTGAATAAAGCAATTACAGTTGAAATCGTAATCAATAAACACCCAAATTTCTAGTCAGTGAACTCGACCGGAAATATATTTTTAAGCGCAGAATACAGCTTCTCCCGATCAACACCCAGCAGAACATCTCTCTTCTGTCAGTTATCAACTGAAAACAAAACGAAGGAAACTAGCTTCCTGTATAAAAGGGCATCACTGAGTGAGTATGCCTCACTCAAGGAGATGGCCCGTTGTAGAAGACCTGACTCGACACGAAGGCGAAGACGCCACATCGAGACTAAGAACAAGCGTGGACCATCGACTCAGATCATCAGCTCTGCTGGGCGAAGACGTCGAAACGTTAGCCAAAAATAAACATATTTATCAGCTTGTGTAACTTTATCAAAAAAGGATACATGTTAAGAAACTAAGTTCTATACGTTGAAATACGGAAAGAATATGAAAGCTGTGGATGCTATAACGGTCAATCTCTCAAAACCATTATGACCTCAATAGGCGCCATTCGTCGCGAGCATGTTATTAAAAACACGTAATCATCGAATCGATTTTCCAATTTTTGGTTAACGAAACCTTTTATCCATTTGGGGTGGGCAAACTGATATTAGAATTGTCTGAGACGATAAAAGAAAACATTGAATCGATAGCCTAGTGCGCATTTATACTTGGCCATTGTACAGGCCAGATATGCATTCAATCACATCTGGGATGCTAAAAACCGTGTCAAAAGCATGAAATATCTCTGAAAACTGTTAAACGCCGAACGGTTTTTGCTTCTTTGTTATTATAAAAGGATAAGGGGCAAAGAGTTTAATGGTGATAAATTCCTGCTAGAGACGACACGCATTTTACTTCACTAGGCATCGTTAGAGGAGATTGAATACATATCTCACTTATACAATAAATTTCGACAACCTACCGCTGCATCAATTCAGTCCTGATATCCTTTCGGTGAAGCCTGGCAGCAATGTTTAGACCTCGTAGAGATGGAAGGCTTAGCGAACCTGTGGCGCGGGATCGAACAGACGACGATGTGTTTACCGCAGCGCACCTGTAACTAGAGCGCTAAGCGCCCTCATTGCTATCATAACTGTCGTTCTTTCTATTGTTTCTAAGACATTAGTGACTTTTTGATTTTCGTGTCGATTCTCAATTAAGGAAAGAGCTGGACGATATGTACAATAACTGGAGGGCCAACCGAAGTGTATTGGATATGTTCAACTTTATCTTCAATGAAAATGGTTATCGTTGTAAAGATGTACGTTGTCCATGTACCGTATTCTTCACTGCAACCCTTAAAGAAAAAAATTTATTTCCAGTGGATACTTCTTAAAAGCTCTCTACCCATTAAAGTAAACACTCCTTATTTTTTTGCATTTTCGCTGGTCTTTTATTTTTTACGTATGTATTATCACCATTCAAAATCACTTAAGGGATCTAAATATATTGCAAAGATGCTTGTAAGGTTGCTTGCCGATGATGTGAATACTTTTTATTTTTCCAATAGAAAAATTATTTCTTGATGATAACGGCGACTGTGATATTTTGGTTGAGGTCTCGTGCCACGCAGTGGTCGGAGGAACCCTGCAACACACAGAGGATCGATCCCAGCGCCCACGGCTCACCAAGCCGTCTTTCCCTCCGGGGTCAACAAATTGGCACCAGACTCGTCTGGGAAGGCAACAGCGCTGGCTTGATAAATCGGTAGGCTACTGCGACCCATTGTAAAGGCCAGATATGCATTTAATCACCTCCAAACGACGTTTAATGAAGACGAATCCGCTTCCCTCAGGGATTGATCAACACCGGGAGCTTCATCCTTTTATTCTTTAACCCGGCTTTAATTATATGGCACTATTCAGCCGATAACCTAGCATCTAAAACTTGTTCCAAATTGGTAACGCAGGCTTAGAACAGTTGTTATTATAACGAACTGCTTTTCGGACATCGATTGGAAGTTGGACTGTTCTGTCAGCGATGTACATTGCTCTCTCTCCAATAATTTTAACTTTCCAGTTGTTCAGTGCATGTTGGGGTGGTTCACAATCCTTGGATTGCTGCTCGATCTTCGAGCCGACTTATGTAATGTTGAGAGGAAGGTCAGTATAAAGCGAAAAATTGCCTGATTTATAGAAAGAACGAATGTTCAGATGTTTTCGTCTTCTCGACAACTACAACCAAACAGATTTTGATGAAATTGACAAACTTTCGGTACTATTCAATACTGTGCAAAGTACTCCGATAAGCCGAAAAACTCAAGTAAGTTTTTTTTCTTTCTTTGCATTATAACTTTTATCCTTAAAGGATTGAGAGACTTTTTACCCATATAGTTTGAATGATTACTTCTTGGATTTTATAGCCGCAGGTCGTCATGTACATTGGTGATTCGCATCCAGAAATCGGCCTTTATCCACGATTCTATCTGAACTATCATAACTGGAATCGCATTCGTTTCACTCAACGGCGTATATCAATGCTATCCGATAATCCAATGTGTTCAGTGAAGCCGCTAGATCAAGGTAATAACAAGGTGATGTTCTTCATGTTCTTCACGTCTAAGTGAACCTACTGAAGGGAAATCGACGTGCTTTGTCTACAATTGGATTAAACACGTTCTACTCTCACCACTGAACTGCACGTTACCGTACTTTAAAGGAATGCTGTCTTATGTCGATGACGTTCCTGTGTGTGAAACGTCCGCCGTTATCAATGACTATCATCGTATAATGTCACAAAAGCTTGATAGCTATGATGTGAGTAGCCAGGATATGACATGTGGTTATTTATTCTATTTTTCGTTCCTTTCTTCTCAGTCAATTGGTTTCCGACAATTTGGTATCCGACAATCTTCTTAGTGTCTTGCTGCTTGCGAACGAATCGAGAATCATATGCAGATGTTCACTAGTCCAGACTACAACCGTCATATCAACTATTCCCTCCGTTTCGAGAGTTCTTTCACCGAGTTGCAGGTTTGTCTTTGCCGGATAATTTCGTTAAGAGTTTTTCTAGATAACTCTGAACGAAATTTTGTCCTTCGCGTGGTACCTGTGCTGAGCTGTGGTAGCCAAAAGCTAAGCATTCGAAGGTCATTTCGCTTTACACGTAAGAAGCCACTCATGCGTGGTAAACGACAATTTGTGTGGATGGGAAATATTTGATATTTGTTATTCTTACTGATATCATTCAATCAGCTGTCGCCAAAACTGTGAACACTCCCAGCAAGGTTTGGCTTAACGACACCGGCAGCGAGTAGAAAATAGTCGGCTATTGTAATATAAGTTGGTGTTCGATAGTATTAACTTGTTGTTCATATCACAGACACTATTTCTACGGCTGTACGAATCATCTGCGACTCATTCACTTTCGGCCAGGGATAAAGCAACTCTCGAACCCTTAGAAAAATTCTGAACTCGCATTTAGTTTCAGCATTTAAAATAAAATCTGTCTAACTCTACAGATTTTTACCATAACAATATTTCCGCACTTCTTATTCGACCAAGGGGCGGATAGCACGGTGATAGTGGTGTCAGTCATCACGAGCTCAGCGCTGTTCGATCCCACATCGGACTCGCCAAGCCTCTCATTCACTGAGGTCGGAAAATTGGTGCCGGTCTTGTCTGGGGAGGAATCCCTCTCTGCCTTTCAAGTGAGAACGCTCCATCCCAGCTATCTCAAGACTTCAGGGAGAATCAACTCGACCAGCATTCTACGACATTGAAGATGAAGTGAAAAATCTTTAAGCAGCAGCCAAAATAGCACGTAAATGTTGGAAGATTTTGCGGATAATGAATACAAGGAAACGAATGAAATTTGAGAAGTGCTGGGATGTCAGCACGGTAAATGTGATCACGGATCATATAAAATAAAAGCATATTCAACCATGATCAATATTTAAATCTTATCTACTTTTTAGTCATGACCATCTTATATATCTTGTCCTGATAATACTTAATTTTAATATGTATTGATATTGTGAAGCTTTGTCAAAAGGTTGTTTTGCAATATAGTCATGGCCGTCGGTTAGATTCTGAACCTACGTGAAACCAAGCCTTTCATTACTTCGGGGTCGCCAAATCTGCTATCAGACCCGACTGCAAGAATTTAAAAAACACTGACCTTTTGCACATGGGTAAGCTACCCTAAGTTCTTGTATAGGGCAAATGTGCACTCAATCACCTACAATTATGTTGGAGTATGGCAGTGATCGACAGAACTAGTTGAGAGACAGGCGAAACGTAGGGCCGACATGGTGTGGTGGTGAACGCGTTAGCCTCCGGAAAGGATAATATCGAGTTCCTTCCACACGGCAAACAACTGTAGTCCGGAGCTTCGCAACTATCTAAGCATCATAAAAGTTATATGTTGGAGAATTTTCGTTACGAATGGAGTCGAATACCTAATACATTCCTGAGAGGCTGATTAATCCCAAGCGCTTTATCCTTTTTATTCTCTTATCGTGAAAACACCGTCGCCAAAAAGAAAAACGAGTAAAGAAGAAAAAAACGAGTATTTTAGCACATTATTCTCCACAGATTCAATACGAATCGATTTTCAGTATGAGCACTATTCTGAAATTCGTCTGACCACAGCGGCTGGATTTATTTCGGAGCTTGGCGGTCAAAGCGGGCTATTCGTTGGATGTTCGGTGATGAGCGTCATCCAATTCATTCTTTCTATTCTATCGATTTTTACTGTTTGTGCTCAAAATTTCTATGGAAACTACATCTGTCATGTTTTTTCTTTCAAATCACGTATTACTGACAGCACCATAAACCATCAGAATAGATGAAATTCAGGTGTTTAGATGAAGTACCTACCTCCCTGAGAATTATTTATTCGGTTTAGGGTCACAGCAATTTTATCAGACTCTTTTATTATTGTTGACTTTTATTAGTAAAATCTAATATCTTTAAGATCGGTTATCTTACCATCACGGTTGCATATTCCTTAGAGGAGCAGGACCTCAAGACAATTTCACCTCCCTGATGGCTTTACATTTCTCTAATATTACTAGTCTTTTTACGAGGCCCAGTCTTTATCAGAATTAACCTGCATCACCTGTACCACTTTTGGTCCTGTTGATCGTCGAGTGACTCAAACGGGCGGGTTCGATTCCGGAGAGGGAGCCTTAGAAACGGAGTAAATCTTCCATTTTTCCTGGTCGAGTGCAAGAGTAGTTTAGTAGGTTTTGCTCGCTCTAGGGACTCGTTGAGCATCATCAGAATTAACCAAGAGGAGATAATTCGATCTAATAGATCAAATGCGGTTATTTTTTGCTCTCGGCTTGGGGCAGTGCTATAGGGCTCTCAGCCATTCCCACCACCAAGAGTTCGATTCTGGTCAAAGGTTACCAACTCGAGGGAGCTCTGAATGGAGATCAGGAGATCTCAAATATTATCATGGCCAGAAACGGTTACACTCTTTATATTATCCTCTGATATTCGAAAACTTTGTAAACCTTATTTTTTTGTATTTCTAACAACATTACATATGAAATTTGTTTAAACGTGGATTTTCATTCAATAAAGTGATTAAGTAGAACCGATTTTTTATTACCACACTTTCAACTTTCATTAATTTGCGTTCAACTGTTGAGCGTTGTCTCTGTCGTCTTATTGCTTTAGAATGACGTCATTCCATTGGTACAATGATTCGCTTAAGATTGTCACTACCGCTATGTGGGTTGTTGGCCTCTAGGTGACTTAGAAAGAACTTACGGCAAACTTTTGCCGAATTTCAACCATAACGCTGCTGAGATATTCGCAAAACTTGGACTCAGAGCCAGATCGAACTACGATTGCCCTGTTCGGGGCTCGTGTATTGCACACTGCACCAATGAGGCTCTTGATCTGCGTTTCTCGCAGCCAGTTTTCTACCTAACGCTGCCTTCAGCATTCACCCGTCAGGAGGATTGATCTGTGGAGCACAAATTGGCACTGAACCCAGTTAAGCTGAAGCTGTAGCCGAAATTGCCATACTAATCTTTTGTTTTCTCCCTACTATAATTTTTCACGGCAGGATACAATGTGAAATTCAATCATAACGATGATGAGACATTGGCAAAACTTGGACCACGGGTCAGGTCGAAGATAACTGAGAAAAGTGTAGAGCAAGGGCATCTGTGGAGCAGTGTGTAATACGCGAGCCCCTGGGAAGGATAATCGTAGTTCGATCTGGCCTGGAGTCCAAGTTTTGCGAATATCTCAACGACGCTGTGGTTGTAATTAACATCATATCCAGTCTTAATAAATTATAGTAGGCAGAAAATAAAAGGCTAACATTATGACAAAGATTTTTTTTCACACATCCTTAAGAAAGCGTGCGTGTGGTGCAGTGGTCGGAGGCGGTCTGCAACACACACGTGGGATTGATCCTCGCGCCCATGGCTCACCAAACCTTCCATCTTTTAAAATGCACTTCATTATTATCGAAATGTTTCGATCAGAAAGCCAGCTAACGGTAAATCGATGCCAAGATCGGTCACCGTCCTGGTATCAAACTAGTCGCGTGGTGGCAAATCTCCCTTTGATCCACAAGTGTGGCCTCCGCCTATGGTGGTGACGACGTGGGGTAGACTTTGGCCTGGCCGACCTCGGGACTCCAGGGAGCCACAGTGGACTCCGAGCAATTGGAGATTGTGCTCGGGCCAGCAAAACCGGTGAGGACGGGCTACCCAAGTGCTCAAGTAGGTAAATATTGTCGAAACATTACAAGCTTCTTTTCCTTCACACTTAATTTCCATTCTTCTTATATTACAGGTTATACATTGTTTCGTTCACTTAGCTTTCTCTCACAAATCAAACTCTTTCTATTGTAACTGCCACGACCGACTTTCTATTAACCTCGGCATTGATCAAGTGATTTTGTTCGTATTTTTTTGAGCAAACGCGAGGTGTTACTATTCTTTGTTCACGATTAAGCTGACGTTTCGGCGAATTTCGCCTTCTTCAGAGCCTGGAAAGGTCAAGTTGATAGCAACCCACTCGGCCAGACGCCTCCATAACCAAACAAAGAAACCCCAAACCAAGATTTCAATCACTTTGAACACAGCTTTGCACACTCACCACTTTCTATGTGGTTTCCACTAAGTATGTCACGTAGAGACCAACCGCACAAAAATCACGTGGAAGTATAATGTGCCCCTCACATCAGAAAAGCAGTTTTATATACTGCCCTATATCACGCGTGATAATGAGGCATTCTTCCCTGCGGTTCATTTTCGGATTTCTGGAATTAATCCAGAGTGCCTCGAGGGTTTTTCGCGCCTGTGTTCTCGATTCGCGTGCGAGGATCGTGACACATACTTCGAAGTCGTCCCCGTTATGTCTCTGGGTCCTATGCGTGCCTAGCGGGGTATTTGGTCTATTTTTGCCGGCTAGGTGTTCTTTCATGCGGACACAGAGGGGTCTACCCGTTTCGCCAATGTATTCGTCACCACACGTCTTACAGGAGATCAAATAAACTATACCCGAGCTCATGCAATCACCGTCTCTACCACTGGGGCAAATTATGCAATTTTGAGTTGCACATAGACGGTCATATAGGCGGTTACGAACTAGCTGGCGCTTAAGATTACTCGGTGGTATTTCAACTACGCTCACCGAATTCTATAAGCCCGCCCTTCTTAAGCAGCGTTTTATAGCTGTACTTATATCATTTGAGATGAAGGGTAGGATAAACGGGACCCTTCTATCGCTAGAGTTGTNCGCGCCTGTGTTCTCGATTCGCGTGCGAGGATCGTGACACATACTTCGAAGTCGTCCCCGTTATGTCTCTGGGTCCTATGCGTGCCTAGCGGGGTATTTGGTCTATTTTTGCCGGCTAGGTGTTCTTTCATGCGGACACAGAGGGGTCTACCCGTTTCGCCAATGTATTCGTCACCACACGTCTTACAGGAGATCAAATAAACTATACCCGAGCTCATGCAATCACCGTCTCTACCACTGGGGCAAATTATGCAATTTTGAGTTGCACATAGACGGTCATATAGGCGGTTACGAACTAGCTGGCGCTTAAGATTACTCGGTGGTATTTCAACTACGCTCACCGAATTCTATAAGCCCGCCCTTCTTAAGCAGCGTTTTATAGCTGTACTTATATCATTTGAGATGAAGGGTAGGATAAACGGGACCCTTCTATCGCTAGAGTTGTCGTTTGGAGGCATACGATTTCCTCTACACCTATTCTGAGCTACAGTCTCGTAGCCATTAGAAACGGCTATTTGCCGTGCCAAGTTCCGGGACTCCTCTCTCTGCTCTCTTCCCGTGCACACGTTGGTTGCTGTTCGAAACATGTTTCTTATAAGCGCCCTTTTCGTGTGAGAGGGGTGAGAGGAGAGGTAATGAACCAAGATATTTTTACTACTTGGCTTTCGGTACCACTTTGTAATGTAGCCATTTTCTGATAGGTGAATTTGTACGTTCAAAAATGGAAGCCATTTTTCTTTCTATTGTGTATTGGACACAACAATGTTGCAAATTGTGATCAGACGAAAGTCTTCTTCAACTTCCAAGAATCATTCATTCCTTATTTTAGTCCGTAACCACAAACTTTGCGATAATCTAATAGCTACCGTAGTCGGTATTATCATAAATCAATGGATATTTTAGTGGTTGCACTCAGTCTTATTGCAAATCATTAATAAAATTAAAATTAAAAAAAATCGCAAAACAAATGAAATTCGTTCCATACTCATTATTATCATGGAACAGTGGAACACCATGGAAAACAACGTCAGAAAGATAATGCTTGGCTGATAGAGGTTAATTTTTAAGAAGAACATCTCTTAAGACATGAAAATGAACTTTCTAGCGAAACTATTAACCCCTTATACACTCAATAGAAACATCGTCACAGAACTTCAAGTTCTCATAACTAGTAATTTACGGCAATGTAGGTACGATATGCTTTACGAATGAAGCCGAAACTAAACATGACAACAGTGAAAAACAGTTGGATCAGCGTCATCAGCGAACCGCCGACGAACAGTCCACACTGGCTACCTAGCTCAGAAATGAAACGTGCTGGTGTAGTGGTGTGCGTCTCCAAGTAGTACTCGTACTGAAACTTCGGAAACTTGTCCTAGCTTGTCGGTGAGTTCTACACATCCCAAACGCTTGTATAATTACCTTTTGTATCTGTATTATAAATGTTTGCTCTCATTTCTTAAAAGGCTTTTATAACTTGTGTATGAATGTTAACTTCATATCTTCTGCCTATTATAGTTTTTTACGGCAGGGTATGATATGAGATACAACTACAACGCTGCTAAGATATTCGCACAACTCGGAGCCCGTACCAGATCGAACAGCGATTTCCCTTTCTGGGGGCTCGCACATCCCTTTGACGGGTGCTTGCTGATGGCAGCGTTAGGTAGAAAATTAGCTGAGAGAAACGCAGAACAAGGGATTCCTTAACGTAGTGTGTAATGCGCGAGCCTCCGGAAAGGAAAATCATGTTTCGATCTGGTCAGGAGTCCGAGTTTTGCGAATATCTCAGCATCGACATGTATGAGTTTCCACCCATCAGTGCAACTATTCTCACTTTTCTCAATTCTCTACATTCTTTTCTATGTGGAAATTTTGAACTTTTCCTGTTCTCTCCTATTGCTAGTGTTTTTTAATAAGTGATTTCTTTCTTCTTCTCTCACTACCTTTTTTCTTATTATTTTTCACTTTATAATAATCAGTACGTCAATAAATCGGAGACTCATAAAGGAACCTTATAGCAGAAGGAGGGCAGGGATGGCGCGGTGGTTAGTGATTCAGTCCATGAGGAAGTAAGGTACTGGTTCGACAACCTCTCTAACGCTCTTCTCCATTCTACATGAAGTCACCTTAGGTCTGATATCTTCAAATTGTGAGAAAAATCGATTCGACCAGCATTCTACGGCGTTCATGGACAAGAAGTAATCCTCAAGCAGCAGCGGAAGCAACATGCGAAATCTTCGAAGACCTTTGTAGATGACGAATGCTAGGAAAACAAATTGAATACAAGAAGCGCTCGAACCCACACAGCAAATATGATGACGGGACCATTTAAATGGAGACAAATGTAAAAAAAAGTTTGAGTGCCACTTTTTACGCAAATTATACGAAAGTGTTTGAGTGAGAAGTTTACGCATCATCATAACCCCCTGAAGCTCTGAAGAAGAAGCAGTAGCTTAAAGGTTAACCATTTTTGTTCAAGCTTTTAACAAAAACCCTATGCCGGTCAAGGAGAGAACGTTAAATCCACTAACCTTCATGAGAACCATCAAGTCCATTAGTTCGTAATTTTCCAATAAACGCAGCATTCAAGACACGAAATAGTGTCAGTGAAGACCTCCTCACTTACCTCCATCTCGTTGAAAGACGCTTCAAAACCGAATCCATTTTGAGCCAGTGCACGTTCGTCTACGTTAGACGTCATTTGCCAGTGATTTTCTACACGTTCACAAGCTGGTAAGCACTAAAAATATGTAGAAAAACGTTTCGCATTGCTATATAATATATTTGAGTAAAAATTTCTGTACAATGAGTAGTTGACGGTCTGACCACCATGAGTCTATCAACCTTCCAATCACATCCCGGTTGTTTAAAGTGTACGACGATACCTTTGTGAAGACCTATGAAACCGCTAACACATCTATCCTACGGTTTCAGAAGTAACGAACTTGATCAGAATTCGAAATTTGTGAAAAAGGCAAGTAGTAGTCCCCCGCCCTTACGCAAATAAGAAGACCTTCATAGTTAACCCGAAAACCTCCATGATTCGCTGGTGTGAAGCAACAAATCGAATGAGAGAAGTGTGGGAATCCGCACAATTGGTGAGTTCGGGTTATGGAAACAAATGAAATAAAACAATGGCTGTTCGAAAGCTTTTCAGTTTTGCACGACTGCTTCTTTAAAGGCGTTTAAGACGTCTTTAGAAAGATTGCCAGCCGAGCCTCCATTGTTTTTGCTAATGCATGAGTAGTAGTTCATTTAGACCGAGCTGCTCACGGGTGAATGGCTCAAAATTTGCTTTTAAATTTTTGAGCTTACAAAGCTGACCTGACCCCAGACAAGTCTTGTACCAATTCTGCAATGCCTAGGAGGATAGAGAACCTGATTGCCCTGGTTCGAGAACAAAGTGGGTACTAAACGGCATCTTTAGCACGGGGCTATCCGCGCCCTGCAACACACGTGCTCGTTGGTTTGATCCCATGCAACAAGCTCACTAAGCCTTCCATACATACGAGGTAGGCAAAATGATACAAGTTTTGTCTGATCTGGGAGGAAGGATAGCAACGCTGCCGTGCTACATCGGTAGGCTATTGCAAATCATTCTATAGGCCACAGTTGCATTCAATCACCTATGACGATGCTTGAAGAAATCAAATTCGTGGAGTATCCCTCAGTGATTGATCAACACCGAGAGATTTATCCTCTTATAACAATAAAAAAATATTGAAATAATATATATTTACTCCGTAGTTCTTGATTCCCTTTGAAGTGATATGATAATATTTCTCGACTACAGACAGCGGTTCGCACACTGACAGATTGGCTGTGTATGGTAGCATAGTCTTGAAGAATGGCAGGGTACAGTTCAACGTCGGCACCATCACTCGATTAACCCAGTTGTATACGAAGCACGTCGATTTCCCTGAAGATTCATTGATTACGCCAAATCGAGATTTATGACAGTCAATAGAAATGTTTCAAAAACTAATGGATTTCAGTTAGCTTTTCGGTTACTTCATTGGCCCAGAATTTCTCTTCCGATCTCAATCACATCCATAACATGTCGAATTTTAGTATAAACCGAGTTGAATCGGTGCTCGTTTTGATACATTTGGAGTGGTGATCACTAACCACACAGGAAAGATACAGACGTAGAGCAGGGCTTTACGAGTGATATGTTCTGTTGTCTTTTCCACAGAGGGCTTTTTCCTGCATACCCTTCGCTGTTTTTCGTGGAAGGACAGAATACTTGTATGCAGCAACGCCGTCGTGTGATTTGTCCAAGTCAGAGAATGTAACTAATTCGTATATCAATGCATCATTTGATTTAACCCACTTAAGGTCTAATTTTTTATGTGCAAGCCTCCTTTACAAAATGGCTAGTCTAAAATCCACTATCTAAGGAATAATGGCATAGATCCTACATCGAAAATAAACTTTGGAGTTCTGATTGATAGAATCTGGGACGCAGATAGACTGTAAACGTGAGTAAAATACGCAAATTGAACGAGTGGCAACGGTGAGAGACTTATGCGACTCATCCAGCTCTTGGTTTCTGAATTCTTCATTCTTTGAAATGACTGATAGCAAACCTTGATTTAGAGGATCAGTTGAGCAGAGATTTTTTTCAGGAACCATTGACACTTTCCTTTGAAAGAAATGTAAGTGATTCCAATTGTTCACACTTAGATATAAACGTGGATACAGACCCACTTCAACATGCGAATCTCCTAAGTGCGCGATCATTTGTGCCTGTAACAACTGTTTATGACCACATTTTCACTTCGACTACACGATCTCATAAGTAAACGAGACTCTGTTGTTACCACATGATAAACAAACTCCCAATCAAAGACGGTATCATTGAAAAAACACAGAAGAAACGCAACTTTGTAGTAAAATTCTTGAAAATGTTAGAAAACAGAACGGTATCGAACAAACTCCTGTGCACAAACGATGCTGGAATATTCGCAAAACTTGGCCCCGGGTCAAATCGAACCGATTTCCCTCTCCGGAGGCTCGAGCATTACACACTGCTTCATGGAGGCCCTTGCTCTGCGATCCTCTCAGCGAGCTTCGATCTGGCCCCAGTTCCAAGTTTTGAAACATCTCAGCATCGTTGTGGTTGATTTCGTACAATACCCTGCTGTGAAAATTGGGGAGGCAGTAAATAAAGAAGTAAGCTTTTGTGCCTTGATTTTTATAAAATACAGAATTTTGAACCTTTAGAGTTTGAATCAACCAAAACGTGAAGCTTGGAGGTCGATTTCTGATTTTCAGCTTCAATGCTAGTTGTGTGGATGATTCTCCCAATAGTAGGCTTTACCACCTCGTTATTATTTGATCTGTTTTGTAGGGCAACTGAAAGAAGTCAGCGCGGTACAATCTGTTCCTGGCCAGATGGTCTCCAACTAATAAGTGATGGTGAGAGTACATACAACCTCTAAGAGAAAAGTGGCGATCTTTGATCGCATCGGTACTTTAGGAGAGTTCCAAAATTTTTAATAGAAAATGATCATTCTCATTACATTGTACGAGGTTGAACTCACTCCTGTTGTGTTGCGGATGAGAAAGCCTCGAAGCCGATTAAAATACAGTAACAGATTATCCGTACCATAAATGTCGCTTTGATATAAATCCTCTACGAGACGGAAACATCTAAACGGCCCTTAAATCGTTTCCAACATAGATCGACAAAACTACCATTTTTTTTAGCTTTTTTTGAAATCTCGTCCAATTAACGTTTGTCTTTTTTGATCTATAAAAAGCTCTCGGCGTTAATCAAACTCTGAGGGATGCGCCATGCATTCGACTACATTAAGCGTCGTTTGGAGGTGATTGAATGCATACTGGCCTTTACAATGACTCGCAGTGGCCTACCGATGTATCTAAGCAGTGCTGCTATCCTCTCAGACAAGTCTGGTACCAATTTGCCGACTCCAGAGGGATCGAAGGCTTGGTGGGCCATGGGCGCGTGGATGGATTCCACATGTGTGTCGCAGGGCGCCACCGATCACTGCGCCACACGAGATTTAACCGATAAAATTCTTACACTCGAAAATTTCTCGCTTTTCCAAAATTTTTTTTGAACTTCTATTGTTTTGAAAACAATATTTTCATCAATTACCGTCCTCTTAACATCACGAAGGTGGCCGCAAATGCAGAACAGCAGTCAAAATGTCGTGGTCCTGCACGACAAAAGATGAACATCTGAATAATTAAGAATCTAACTGAAGGAACGAATAAATAAATGATGAGGTAAATTAGTGAAATAAAACAATTTTTTTTGGAGTCTATTAGCAAACGCCTAATTTAGTACTAAAAAAAAACGGGAAGGCAGCATAACAACGACATTATTGATTAGACGCGCAGCACGCAACCTAATATATTCTGAGTCAATCAGTAAGCATTCTAGCCATTATTGCAAATGATTCGACATCGGAATAATAGGACAAAAGTATTTCTTCACAAAGTTTTGCTCTGCTGATGATTCCCTTCTTAAGAAGTTTTATATCAGAGCTGTGTAACACAAGATACAAATTTGCTCGTTCCTTACTTCCTGACAAGTGTAACCGTTCTTATTGAATACGAAGTCGAATATCTCATACTGTGTTCGATTACCTCTCCACTGGAGAAGAAGACTGTTGAGTTCGAGTCTGCAATCAATCGTTGATGATTGTCGCTGAATGATTCACTGATTAGCTACGCATGATTGAAGCAGAATTGACTTGCCTGTAGTCGTCGCTCCATGTATCTACTTCAACGTTAGGAAAACCACTTCCAGCGATAAGAAAACGGATAACATCATGAGCTACATCGCTTTCTATCTGTCCTACCCTCGACTTCATATCTGGTTTTCCATTACTTTAAGAATTTGAGGAATTTTATGTATTTTTAGTTGCCTAGTTAAGTTTCTTAGGCGCATGTAGCGCAGTCGTTGGAGGTGCCTTAAAATACACACGTGGTTATTGGTTTAATCCTGTACTACAGGCTCACGAAACCAGGTCCGTTCCCGATGGGTCCGCAGAGTGGTACCAGAATTGTCTGAGACGACAGCAGCGCCGTACATCGGGAATTCGCCGCAACACATTGTCTAGAGCAGATATGCATTCAACCGTCTCCAGCGATTTCAGATTAAACAGAATGCAAGGCGCATTCCTCAACTCAAAAAAACAATTGATCGAAACCCCAAAAACACGCACGTGATCTCTGGCTCGAGATTTCTGGGTCCAATTTAGGCTCTGTGCCCTCCAGGACCAGAAAACTTGCACTAGAATTGTTTAGGAAAGGCTCCCATCCATGAAGATCAACTTGCACTGAAAGTGCTTGTAGAGAGAACCTGAGAATATCCTAGCACGACACTCCCACGATTTCAGAAAGAATCTATTCGACTATCATTCAGTGTCTTTCATAAAGCAGACATCGATCAAAGCAAGATTATCAAGTAGTTCTAATGCAAAGAAAAATCCGAATACGTTCGTGAATTATGGGCCCGTTATGGGTGCGATAAAACTATTCTCATGGAAGAAGCGCTGCGATTTCCACAAATATGGGGCAGCTTCATGTAAATGAGTGAAAATAAAGAGTGAATAATAGAGATGGCCACGAAACGGCTAAACGAGGGCTTCGATAGTGTAATGGATAAAATGTGAGCCCCGGAAACGGTAATCGCTGTTTAAAGTTGTGTTCTGTTTTGTTCTGAGTTTTGCTCACATCTTTGAGTCCTTGTGGTTGTAAAAGATGAATAATTAAACATTTTTTTAAGTATACGCACACACTTGGTTTTTCGTCTATTAGCTAGAAAACCCTTCCAACGATTTACCGCCTCATCGTGGCTGGGAGGTGTTTCTGGGTGTCGAACTGCGATGTACGGCGGGCAAATTCGTCCCACCCGACAGGGTCTCCCAAGCTGAGAAGGAAACCGGCATTTCCATCAGGAAGCCTGGCTGAGTAAACCAATATCAGGACTCACTACCGTCCTCGTGTCAAAGTCGCATGATGGCAAATCTCCCTCTGATCCACAAGGACTGCGACTGCCTGCCGTGGTGACGATCTGGAGCAGGCTTTGGCCAGGCTGTCTTCAGGAATCCAGGAAACCACAATGGCTTAACCAGCAGACCTCCGAGAGGTGGTGATTATGCTGGGGCCTGCACAACTATTGAGGACGGGCCGTTCAAGTATGAAGTAAGTTCAAACTAGAAAAGAATCGAAGAAACTGGTAAATAGGTGAATTGAATTATTCAAGAAAATATTGTTGGAAAAACTACCATATCAAATCTAATACAGCTATCTTGAATACTAGCTTGGTCACCTCAGTGGACTACCTACAGCGTGGCCTTGAATGCGGAGAGCTGTTGTGAAGTTGGAGATAACGCGGTTTTTGAAGTGGGATATAAATTAATGAAGTCAGCGCACAATGTACTACACAGTCTCTTTCACCACTTTCCTAGGACTCCCGAATAAGTCAAGTACGAATTTGCTGACACCAGGAAAGAGACGGTTGGTTACTCTGAGGCAGAATACGAACCAGTAGAATTAATCCGCATATTTGCTACTGAGAAAAATTTTGACCTAATTGATGTATAACAGCAGGGAATTTACGAGTCCACGCTCTTCATAACAGCTGTTGATCTTTAGGAAGATTTTCATTCCAACATATTCATGTAAGTTTATTTCATAAATTGTAAATGTAATTGCAGTAACCTCCTGACGGTTTACCGCCTCATCGCGGTTGGGAAGCCTTGCCAAAATAAAGAGTCCAGCGTTTCCATCAGGAACCCAGTTAAGAGTAAATCAATACCAGGATCTACCACCGTCCTTTTATCAAAGTTGGCGCTTGGTGGCAAATCTCTCTCTGAGCAGCAAGCACGGTGACTGCCTTTTGTGCTGACGACCTGGGGAAGAATGTGACTAAGCTGACCTCGGGGCTCCAGGTTACCACAGTGGCTAAACCTCCCGAACTCCAAAAAAAATGGAACTTTGCCGGTGCTCGCACAACCAGTGAGGAGGGCCACCCAAGTATCCTGGTAACTATTTACAGTAACGATAAATAACATCATTATTGCACCATTCGTCTACCGTTTAGGATCGGTTTAAGATGTATGACGTCGCTCTCCTTCGGGCAAAATACCAGCGATGGAAACTTCAGCCTCTTCGCCTGAAAGAGTTATTCGGAACTCGATTTTCGGTATAAAAAAACAGTTTTCTTAAAAATTATTTAAAACGGAACTCAATGTGATTTTTCTGCCATATTCTAACCAATTAGAAACAAAAGATGTTTGAAAGCTCTTAGTGGTTATTGTATTCCAACTACTTTAAGGAATGCTGTATACTTCCAGTTGACTTTAATAGCACTGGGTGTCTTTCAGTGGATAATGGAGTCAGTGGAATGGGAACAGAAGGAAATGAGTAATAATGGAAAATTTCTATCAAATCTTCGTTTTCGAATGACATCGTCATATTTTACAGTGAAGCAGAGACGATGCTCAATAAACTCAACGAACTGGGAAGAGAATGGTTTACGCATGAAGAGGACGAAGGTCCAGTTTTTGAAGAACTCATGGTGCGAAGGTGTAAAAGTCGAATAAGATGGTTCTCTAATTGCAGAATCCACCTCGTACGTTTCTTCGAATGTCAATGAACGTGGAGAACAACGTGAAGCAGGAATTAGACAGAAGATGTAGAGCGGCCTCAGTTGCATTCGGCCTAGTCAGTCACTCAAAGAAGCCACCGACCAACTAATGGACCGACAACTCCGCTCTCACCGCTTCGTGGGCGTCACCATTTTCGAAACGGACCATCACCATGGAAGGCGATTGTGCGAGGAAGAAACGAATGAAAATTTTCCTGGGCTCTACATAGTCAGTGAAAGCGATAAGCCCAAATAGCCAAGGAAGTAACCAAATTTTCTGAATTCTTTCAACTTTCCATTCATTCAGTAAATTCTAACACCCTCTGTAGTTTTCCACTTCATTGGTAACAGTGATGTCATTGTTCCATATCGAAATGGTGATGTGCAGTGGAAATCGTGCTCTGCTATGACTCTCATGTTTTCAAAACTAAGGTTTTCGACGCTTTCAACCAGCATCCAAAGTAAGAATAAAACAATTCCAGTAATCGTCATCGTCTTAGGACCCAAATCTTACACAAAACACCAGCAGCAGAAATCAGAAGCCTTGATTACCATGGCAGTCAATTTTCAACAGGAAAATAACAAAAGATGGACAGCACTAAACCAAAGAATGGAAGAATGGAATAAGCTGCCGTATTCACGTACGGGAACGATGGTTATCCGGGTACTGAACTGGTTTCCGACGAATTCTTTCATGATTGAGCCGACAAAGAACACTGAAGTAGAGCAGCACATGAGGATCACCACAATCCAAAAAATTTTCTCGTCACGTGAGCTCGACTGAAATCATCATTGAGTTTTATAAGTTGTGAAATAAAAAGACAAAAAAACAGAAATATTAGAGAAGGAGAGAAACCATTTTGTAGACCCAAATCATTTGTATTGTTGTGTGTTGTTCACGCTCAAGTTCTACAGAACCACATTCCCAATCGCTTTTATCCTTTCATATCTATTTTCTTATTTTGGGTCATCAAAAATTTGAAACTAAAATATCAGAACTTCAGAAATTTTAAGTGAACGAAGTGAATGATCACAAGGTAGGACACACTATTTTTCTGGCAGGTGCCTTAAGTGAACTAAAATATGATCACATGGTAGGACGCACTATTTTTCTGGCTGTGACTCTAATGACCACATTTATTTGAGAAGAAATCTTATTCTCACTTTAGAACTTACTCGTTCCCACAAATAGTCACAACTGTTGCAAAATATTGCGAACTCTGCAGAAAATCCATTGAGAAGACAACTAAAAATCCATATTTGCAGCTTAAGGACGAGTTTTGGGCACACGCTTTGTTCACCATCAAAAGTGGACTTAAAGTGGGTATGGGCGAGTTGTCTCAGAACTGACAGTGATTTGCTATGATTTCCTAATTGGTACTTAACGGTACTTTTGCTTTCTTTTTTCATTCCTGCCTTTTTATTCCTTATCCCACCTCGTTATTCCTTTATTCAAGCGTCATTACTATTTCAGAGTACTTCTTTTCTATGATGAAGACCAATAATGGTTTACTCAAACTATTTACTCTTGACGCTTTCCAGAGGATAACGCGTTCACCACAACAGCATCCGGGTCCTT